CTGCAGGTGGGCGCGCCCGCCGCCCGCCACTGCCCACGGCCCGCCACTGCCCACGGCCGCGCCACCCCTCGCAGAGGGGCCGGGCTGCCGCCGCGCTCAACAAGATCCCCTCCCTTTCAACCTTTTAATCCGACGGCTTGCAAACAAAACACCCCCCCACACGCACTCACACACACACACACACACATCACCCCCCCCAAGGTCCTCCCTGACCTCCTGAACGAGCTGGACAGCCTGCCCCCGCGCCGCCGCCTGCTGAGCCTGGTGCAGGGCATCCTGGCCGCAAACATATTCGACTGGGGGGCGCGCGCCTGCGTGGAGCTCTACACAAACGGGACCATACTCGACATTTACAGGTGCGAGGCCCGACACGGCGGCGCGCTCGGGGCCGCGGAGGGGGGGCATGTCCACACCCACGCGCCTCCCAAAATGGCGCGCCGCGGGCACACACGGGGTCCGCCGGCGCGACCCTTGTCTTGGCCCTGTTGGCGGGGCCGCGGCTCCGGGCGCCTGCGGGCGGCGGCGCCGCCCGTCTCCGCCCCTCTCCGCCTGGCTCACTTTCTTGCGCTCACGCCGCCGCCGCTGCTTCCGCCGCCGGCCGCAGGGAGGCGCGCCGCAAGCTGGCGACCCGCCCGTGGCGCGTCGACGACTTCGACGCCTTCTGCGAGCGCGTGTACGGACCGGAGCCCCCCGGCGGCGCCGACGCCAACGCCGCCGACGCCGACGCCGACACCGACTTGCTCGCCCCGCGCCCGCCGCCGTTTCGGCGCGTGATGATATTTGTGGACAACGCGGGCGCCGACGTCGTGCTCGGCATGCTGCCCTTCCTGCGGGAGCTGCTGCGGCTGCGCTGCGAGGTGGTGCTGGTCGCCAACAGCCTGCCCGCCATCAACGACATCACCGCCCCCGAGCTGAGGGGCCTGCTGAGCGCGGCCGCGGAGGTGTGCCCGATCATCAAGGCGGCGCGTGCGGCGGGCAAGCGGGTGGAGTGCGGCGGCGGCATCGGGCCGGGCACGGCGCCGCCATTTTCGGGGATGGGGCGGCGGCAGCCGTCGCTGAATGACCTGGCGCTGGCGCCGCAGCAGCAGCAGCAGCAAGCGGCGGGCGCGGCTGCGGCGGCGCAGCCGCATCATAACCAGCATCACCATGAGCAGCAGCAGCAGCAGCAGCAGCAGCAGCAGCAATTGACCGTGGGTGACGGGGGCAGCGGCCGCGGCTCCCTTGGCCCGCCGTCGCCGGACTCCGCGGCGCGCCAGTCCGCCGCCGCGTTCACGTTCGACAAGCACACCTCCGGCGGCGGCGACTTCGGCGCCCAGGGGATGTGGCAGCAGCAGACCGGCCGCGTGAGCGGCGCGAGCGACGGCGCGCCCGGCGGCGGCGGCGGCTTGCCCGACGCCGACGGCGCCCAGCAGCAGCAGCAGCAGCAGCAGCAGCAGCAGCAGCAGCCCGAGGCGCGCCTCTTCGTTGTGGCCAGCGGCACCGGCGGCCCGTGCCTCGACCTCCGGCGCGTCCCCGCC